TTAAAGCTTTCCACATATGTCAATGTGGCACCTGTGCTGAGAACTACAACTTTATGTTTTACTTGTTTTTGAGTTGGGGTCTCCCTGTCGCCCAAGCTGGAATGCAGTGGTGCAATCTCGGCTCACTGCAACCTCCACCTCCTGGGTTCAAGTGATTCTTTTGCCTCAGTCTCCCAAGTAGCTGGACAGGTGTATGCCACCATGCCTGGCTAATTCTTGTATTTTTAGTAGAGATGGGGTTTCACCACACTGGCTAGGTTGCTCTCAAACTCCTGACCTCAGGTGATCCGCCTGCCTTGGTCTCCCAAAGTGCTGGTATTATACATATGAGACATTGTGCCCGGCCTGAGAACTATAACTTTAAACTTACTGTCGTGAAAATCTCAAACTAGGCTCTATTGCAAACATGTGTTTGCATCATCTAGGCATGCATGGACATGCTGATGGAGTTTATATCACAGCCAAAAAGCTAATGCCAACACCAACCACTGGCACTTCTATATTTACTTCCAGGAGCCCTTGCCTTTACTACCCATCCCCTGGTAGCCATGTACCTCCCACTTCCCCACATTGAGGAGGGAGCTAATAGGCAGCTGAAGCACTGGATTGGAACTGCAACTCAAGGTTGTAGGAGCAAGAGTACTGAAGTGAAGACCTTGATCAGCGCAAACCTGATCATACGACCTTGTGAAAGTTGTTTCACAATTCCCTGCTTCGGTTACTTTGGTTATAAAATTAAACTAATGGAATGGATTTATTTGCTAAAAATATGAGATTTAATAAGCAAATAATTTTAAAGTGCTCCATTAATTCTTCGATTGTTAAATAACTTCACTGCATAAAATCCTATAGAACTCTTTCAAATATATATATATGTAAATATAAAAAGCACCCCAATGATTCTTTTTTCTTTTTTTGGAAACAGGGTCTCACTCTGTTGCCCAGGCTGGAGTACAGTGCCATGATCATGGCTCACTTCAACCTCAGCCTCCCAGGTAGCTAGGACAGCAGGCCTGCGCCACCACTCCTGGCTTTTGTTTGTTTGTTTTTTGTTTTTTTAATTTTCTGCAGAAACGGGGTTTGGTCATGTTGCCCAGGCTGGTCTTAAGCTCCTGGGCTCAAGTGATCCATCTGCCTTGGCCTCCCAAAGTGCTAGGATTAGAGGGGGAGCCACTGCATCCAGCCCAGACAGCACGATTCTGACACAGAGGGTTTGGAAGATTTTTAGACAGACCTGCTCCTGTAGTTCACAGAACTCCTCTGACTACTGCAGTCCCTTTCTTTCCTGAGTCTAGTTTGCTGAAGTCTTCTTGAGATTCTGTGAGACAATAGCCCCTATTTCCTACAGTAAATTACTCTTTTTCTTTTTCTTTTTTTTTTTTTTTTGAGACGGAGTCTTGCTCTGTCGCCCGGGCTGGAGTGCAGTGGCCGGATCTCAGCTCACTGCAAGCTCCGCCTCCCAGGTTCACGCCATTCTCCTGCCTCAGCCTCCCGAGTAGCGGGGACTACAGGCGCCCGCCTCCTCGCCCGGCTAGTTTTTTGTGTTTTTAGTAGAGACGGGGTTTCACCGTGTTAGCCAGGATGGTCTCGGCCTCCCAAAGTGCTGGGATTACAGGCTTGAGCCACCGCGCCCGGCCAAATTACTCTTTTTCTTCCCCTTTAGACAGCCATTGCTGGTTTCTGTTACATGTAAACAAAGAGGATTTTATTTTTTATTTTTTATTTTTATTTATTTATTTTTTTTGTTGAGACAATCTCGCTTTGTCGCCCAGACTGGAGTGCAGTGGCCGGATCTCAGCTCACTGCAAGCTCCGCCTCCCAGGTTCACGCCATTCTCCTGGCTCAGCCTCCCGAGTAGCTGGGACTACAGACACCCACCACCTCGCCCGGCTAGGTTTTTGTATTTTTTAGTAGAGACGGGGTTTCACCGTGTTAGCCAGGATGGTCTCGATCTCCTGACCTTGTGATCCGCCCGTCTTGGCCTCCCAAAGTGCTGGGATTACAGGATTGAGCCACGGCGCCCGGCCTTTATTTTTTATTTTTTATTTTTTTAGGCTAGTCAAGTGAAGCAGTAGGAGGTGAGGACAAAAAGAATTTTGACTAAGGCAATAAATATATTATACAAGTGAAGTATTTCCCAAGTTGTATTCTTTGTAATGCTATGTTCTCAAATGTTAACAAGCTCCATACAAGAACCATTTATTTCTAAATTCTAAAGTCACAATCATATTATGAACTACATTAAACTATATAGTTACTTTTATTATACCTAATAATCTGTCTTTATAAAAGTGTTTACCCAAAAATGCCAGCAGATTCCATGAGAAACTACCTGTAGTACAATTATTGTCAAACTTCAGCGCATACGTAACAGAACCAACTGGAGGGCTTGTTAAAGGATTGCTGAGTCAAACCCCCCAGTTTCAGCAGGTTTGTGGTGGGGCCTGATAATTTGCATTTCTTTTTTTCTTTTTTTTTTTTTTAGACAGAGTCTCGCTCTGTTACCCAGACTGGAGTGCAATGGCATGATCTTCGCTCACTGCAACCTCTGCCTCCCGGGTTCAAGAGATTCTTCTGCCTCAGCCTCCCGAGTAGCTGAGACTACAGGCGCCCGCCACCATGCCTAGTTAATTTTTGGATTTTTAGTAGAGACGGGGTTTTACCATATTGGCCGGGCTGGTCTCAAACTCCTGACCTTGTGACCCACCCACCTTGGTCTCCCAAAGTGCTGGGATTAGAGGCATGAGCCACCACGCCCCGCTGAGAATTTGCATTTCTAACAAGTTCCCAGGTGATGCTGACACTGCTGGCTTATGGAACCACTGCTGTAGTGCTTTCCAAATTATCCTGATTCTAAGAACCACCTATGACCTGTGCTATTCTTTCTGTGGTTACTGGCTCATGTCACATAAATTCTTTTAGTATTCAAACATGTTTGTGACATTACTCAGTATTTACATCTTGCTTTTACTGCAGCATGATAGAAAAATTAACCACAGGTATATCATAACAAAAAGTTCATGAGTTACCATTTTCACAAAGTTCAGATATATTTAAATTAGCCTATTTAATCTTTTTTTGGTTGTTGTTGAGATGGAGTTTCACTCTGTCTCCCAGGCTGGAGTACAGCGGCACAATCTCAGCTCACTGCAACCTCTGCCTCTCAGGTTCATGATTCTCCTGCCTCAGCCTCCCTAGCAGCAGGGATTACAGGTGCCCACCACCACACCCGGCTAATTTTTGTATTTTTAGTAGAGATGGTGTTTTGCCATGTTGGCCAGGCTGGTCTTGAACTCCTGACCTCAGGTGATCCACCCACCTCAGCCTCTCAAAGTGCTGGGATGATAGGCATGAGCCATCGCGCACAGCCTATGGTACACCTTTACTGAAGAAACAATTCAGGAACATCACTCTTAGGAAGGCAATTGTTGATTATAAGTCAAAAAAACACTATCATGTACAAATTAGGGGATTTTGTATACCTTTTTTTGGTTACAAATATGCAAAATGAAGGATGTTTGCTAATACTTGTTTCCAATTTTTAAACTTTTCAAGTGTTGTACTGTTAATAATGTTAAAATAAAAGGCATTTGATTTAGTATGATTGTTTCTTGAACTTCATCTTTTCAAGTTATTATGTTGCTGGCCACTTGGAAGGCACTACTGAGGTCTCAGTAAGTACTGAGATTCAGCAACATTATAATCATTATAAATCAAAGTTTAGAGTTTCTTTCTTTTTTTTTTTTTTTAAAGTGATGGGGTTAAAACGCTGCCCAGGCATGTCTGGAACTCCTGGGCTCAAGCAGTCATCTTGCCTCAGACTGCCAAGTAGCTGAACTACAGGCACACACCACCACACCTGGCTGTGTTCAGTTTCATGGGCAGGTCAAATCATCTAGTGTTTTGTCTGTATGGACAAGGTCAATGCAACTTCTCCAAGCTTTTATCACACAATGGTCCTAGAGGCCCTTGTGAGATAGATAGGGTCTTAGAACAAGTAACTCATTACAATCCTGGGCAAATACTCTACTGAACTGGTGAACTGAAAATGTTTTGCTAATGGCCCAAATGTCACCTCAAATTTTTTTGCCTAGAGGAGTTACACAACTAGTTTGTATAATAATTTAGTTATACTAGGCCCTCAAGTCTAATTTGAAACAAAAACACACTTGGCAAAGCAAAATATAACCTAAGAAATAATTCTGATTTTCTGCTAATAACAGACTTGGTTTAGGAGTCAAAAAACCTGGACACAAGTCCTACTGCCAAGGTGCTGAGTGACTGTATAAATCACATGATTTCTAATTCTAGTTCTCTCAATCTACAAAATTAGAACATGGATGACTAGCTCATATTAGGTTCCTCTAAACCATTTTAAACATGCAAAATGCAGTTTTAACTGATGGTACTTTCAATTGTATTTTTTTTTTGAGACGGAGTCTCATTTTGTCACCCAGACTGCAGTGCAGTGGCACAGTCTCAGCTCACTGCAACCTACACCTCCCAGGTTCAACTGATTTTCCTGCCTCAGCCTCCTGAGTAGCTAGGACTATAGGTGCGTGCCACCACACCTGGCTAATTTTTGTATTTTTAGTAGAGATGGGGTTTTACTATTTTGGCCAGGCTGGTCTTGAACTCCTGACCTCAGGTGATCCGCCCACCTTGGCCTCCCAAAGTGCTGGGATTACAGGCATGAGCCACTGCGCCTGGCCCAATTGTATCTTTTGAAGCAATGACTCCTTTGGATCTCCGGGCTCCTCCTGATCTTTATGCTTTAGATTGGGATTTATCCTTCAAGAAGTTTTCTCTGAACACCTCTAATTAGACTGGGGGGGTACCTTGTCTGTGTCACACCTATCCCCCCAACTCGTGTTGTTTCATAGCACTTATCACACTGTGCGTTTCTGTGGGCTCCTGGATGCAGGGACCCCTCTAATCCATTTCAGCAGTCCATTAGTGTCTTTCCATCTATCTCTTCCAGATAGAAGAAGGCATCGAACACAGTTCACTGATGACAATTTATTATAATCTGTTAGTAGCACACAGACAAATATTAATTAAACCAGAACCATGTCTACACAGAAGTGGGCAGTGACATGTGCCATTCTATGGGGAACTGTGTGCACTTAATCATCATGTTTTAGCGTTTTGATCTTCTGTTTATGCCGCTCAATTTCTTTCTGCAGACGCTCAATCTCCTTCTTATGATGAACGATTTCTTCTTCATGGTGTTTTTTCAAAGCTGCCAGTTGTTCTCTATTCTGTGCTCTACAAGGACACGGTGGCTCAGGGTTTAATTTCAATCCTTCACCCCAAAGAGATCTCTAAGCATAACCCGTAATGTCTAAGCAAGGAATAGGAGTCCCAGTTCCATGGGAGTCTGGCTGGTCATCCTCCTCTACTCCTCAACTAGTGAAAGAATACCCCATCTTAAATTGAGGTGTAGTCATCTTAAGAAGACCAAAATGATTTCACTGGTGCTAGTGGCTTAAATTCCATCATTAAGATCTTATTGCTTTCAGATTCCTTTTTAAAAGAGAAAACTCCAGAGAGATGTGACACAAGTCCCTAATACCTTATGAGGGGAACAACCCAGGGAACCCCTTTAGAGGAAAAAAAAAAAAAAAAGGAACAAAATAGGGACAAAGGGGTGTGGTTTAAAAGGCAAATATCCATTTCCTATTCCAATCTGTCTAGAGCTTTCTTTGCCTATAGAAATGAATGGCCCGCTGTAAGGCCAATAAAAGGTCTCCTGCATGGGCAGTATTTGGCAGTTCAATTTAGGTACCAAGAAGGGACTGGATTACAATGTTGGTTTGCCCACATTTAGGCCTCAATTTTCCTTAACTACAAAATGAAGGGGATCAATTAGATAGTCTCTAACAGCAGTACCTTGGCTCTCTATACGGTATGGCAGGTGTCATGGTGATAATTCTCAACAGAAGGCAGAAGTGAAAGGCCAAAGGACAAGCAAAAGCAAGATTAATTCCTCACTGCTCTCCGGAGTGGACAGAAGTCAGTTAAAGATAACTCAGGGCTGGTAAAGGAAGGCCCAGCCCACTCCATACTCCTAAGCAGGAGAGGGAAATCCACAGATCTAGGCTGGGCTGAGTAGGGCAAAAGCCTTTAGGAGATGGTGTAGTCCAACCCTAAGTAGCTCCCATGACCAGCTCCCATGATCCTCACTCTTGCGGAGTCAGGGGTCTAGAAACACCTGAGAAGCCTGAATGCATGCAGGCTTGCAAAGCTAGGGCGTGCTGGGGAGGAAGGAGAGCGTAGAGGGGGTGACAGGTGGGTGAGGGCCGAGGGAGTCAGGCTGGGAGGCAAATGTTAGACGGTCGGATCCAGATACTGTGTGAACAATCTGGGGGCGTTTCACACCACCCGAGAAGAACTCCACGCGGGAGATGATAAAGGAGGAGTTGAGCCGTGGGATGTTTTGGAGACCCGCCGGTAGAAATGGTTTGGGGGCCTGAAACTGTTGTGCAGGGAACTGGGAGTGCCCTATAAGTGGCAACTTGGGACATCAAGGGTTAGGGTATACCAGATTGGGGCCCGGGAGTTCTGTTGGGGGATGGGGCGCCCAAGGCACCAAGGAAACGGGTGGGGCGACTGGCAGTTTAAGGATTGGAAGGCCCTGGGAGATCTAGGGCTGGACTTGGGACCCGGTGAGCCTCACCGGAAATATCGTTCCTCTTCAGCCTGCTCTCTCTTTCCGAAGGCCCCACCGGCTTCCCGGATGGAGCCCGCGCCCCGGTCGACATTCTCGGACTGCAGAGAGACAGGGACACTGATAAAAGTAGGGAAGCGAAGATGGGATCCACCCTCGGGGCTGGAGCAGCGGACACTGCCGCAGCGTACCTGATCCGAGCCGAAGCCTCGGGCTTGCATGGTCCTCACGCCCCACACGCCAAGCCACGTCCGCGCCACCAACGCCGTTACTGCCATTGCTGCTGGAGCTGCACCTCTGGCGTCTCTGCCGCAGCAAGCTGTACCTCGTTACGCGCTAATGGCGCGGGGACGGCCAAGCACCCAATCTGGTCGACGGAGTGGCGGATGAACACAGGAGTAGCGAATCACGGGAGAGCGGAGGCGGGCTTCCCGGAGCTCACAGCGAATCCCGAGCAAGAGACGAGTTTATTCTTGGCCAACTAGCCAGGGCTCAGGGCCAAAGGACTGGAAAGAGGAATGATGGGGGAGTTTAGAGAGCTGGGTGAGGAGAATGCCAGAAGCCGAAATTTCGGCTCTTGGACCCATCAGAATGAGGCGTGGCGTTCACCTCCAGGCCACGATTTCAACCCTAAAGTCGTTAATATTCAAAGCCCAAAGGAAGTTTTCCCTTCCCTGGCCTGCTACCATCAATAAAATGGGGGAATTTGGGGTTTGGGAGCTGTGTCCAGGATGCTGATGTCCGGGATACCGACGTCCAATGTGCCGCGTCTTAGATATACATAAATCGCGTTCATTTGTTATGAGAAGTGCCAGTGTTCTGGCCGGGCGCGGTGGTTCGCGCCTGTAATCCCAATACTTTGGGAGGCCGAGGTGGGTGGATCACGTGAGGTCCGGAGTTCGAGACCAGCCTGGCCAACATGGGGAAACCCCGTCTCTACTTAAAAAAACAAGTATCAGCCGGGTGTGTTGGCATGCGCCTGTAATCCCAGCTACTCAGGAGGCTGAAACAGGAGAATCGGCCTGAACTCGGGAGGCGGAGGTTGCAGTGAGCCAAGATCCCGCCACCGCTGCACTCCAGCCTGGGCGACAGAGTGATATTGGTCTCAAAAAAACCCCAAAAACAAAAAACTGGGCCGGGTGCGGTGGCTCACGCCTGTAATCCCAGCACTTTGGGAGGCCGAGGCGGTTGGATCACAAGGTGAAGTTCGAGACTAGCCTGGCCAATATAGTGAAACCCTGTCTCTACTAAAAAATACAAACATTAGCCAGGCGTGGTGGCACGTGCCTGTAGTCCCAGCCACTTGGGAGGCTGAGGCAGGAGAATCGCTGCAACCTGGGAGGCAGAGCTTGTAGTGAGCCGAGATCGTGCCACCACACTCCAGCCTGGGCAACAGAGTGAGACTGGTCTCAAAAACAAAACAAAACAAAAAGCCCAAACAAACAAAACCCAAAAAACGGAATTTCCAGCCATGACAGTAAGGGAGGTCAGAAGCACATCTTGTTATGTCCCCTCCCTTTTGGTGTTTAAGCACAACAACTGACCAGCATTAATGTTGAAATAAAGAGCATAAGCTTAGCAAAATGCACTCTTTGTGTAAATAAGGTACCAAATTATAAACAGGACTTAAGGCTATGTCATATGACACTTAAGTCACACACCTTTAGAGGTCACTCCAACCCAATGTGTTGGCTAACAGACTTCCTTGCCTTCAACATCTTAAACATTTCTTTCTGCTGACTCCAATTTTTTTCTTTTCTTCTTCTTCTTTTTTTTTTTTTTTTTTTTTTGAGACAGAGTCTTGCTCTGTTGCCTGGTTGGAGTGCAGTGGCACAATCTCCGCTCACTGCAACCTAGGCCTCCCGGGTTAGTGATTCTCCTGCCTCAGCCTCCCAAGTAGCTGGGACTACAGTCCCACGGCACCATGCCTGGCTAATTTTTGTATTTTTATTAGAGATGGGGTTTCATCATGTTGGCCAGGATGGTTTCAATCTCTTGACCTTGTGATCTGTCCACCTTGGCCTCCCAAAGTCCTGGGATTACAGGCACTGCGCCCCGCCCGCTGACTCCAAATTTTTAGACTAAACTTTACTTCTTTAACCAATTGCAAATTAAAGAATCTCTGAATCCACCTATAAACTCTGATCCCGTGCTTCAAGGTATCCTGCCTTTTGGGGCCAAATCAATGTATACCTTTCATGGATTTGTTTATGTCTTTGTCTGTAACTCCTGTCTCCCTAAAACGTATGAAACCAAACTGTGGGATGGGCTCGGTGGCTTATGTCTGTTATCCCAGTATTTTGGGAGGCCAAGGCAGGAGGATCACTTGATGCCAGGAGTTTGAGACCACCCTGGGTGACGTAGTGAGACATCATCTCTACCCCCTTTTCCCCCCAAAATTAGCCTGGCATGGTGGTACATGCCTTGTAATCCTAGCTACTTGGGAGGATATCTTGGGCCTAGGAGTTCAAGATGATAATAAGCTATGATGGCACCACTGCACTCCAGCCTGCTGGGTAACAGAGCAAGATTCTGTCTCAAAACAAAAGCAACCCTCGAGAAAAACCAAATTATAGGTGGGACGCGGTGGCTGATGTCTGTAATCCCAGCACTTTGGGAGGGCAAGGCAGGCAGATCCCGAGGTCAAGAGATTGAGACCATCCTGGCCAACATGGTATAACTCCATCTTTACTAAAAATACAAAAATTAGCTGGGTGTGGTGGCATGTGCAGGAGAATCTCTTGAACCTGGGACGCGGAGGTTGCAGCGAGCCGAGATCGTGCCACTGCACTCCAGCCTGGTGACAAAGCGAGACTCCGTCTCAAAAAAAAAAAAAAAGAAAGAAAACCCAAATTATAACTTGACCACCTCAGGCACAATTTCCTAGGACCTCTTAAGACTGTGTTTCACCAAGCTATGGTTACTCATATTGGCTCAGAATAAACCTTTTAAAAATATTTTAGTTTTTTTTGTTTGTTTGTTAACAACATATTGTTGAATGGGCTTAATAACTGCACTTTTGGCAATGTGGTGCAATGCAGTAGAAAAGAGCAGACTGGGCACGGTGGCTCACACCTGTAATCCTAGCACTTTGGGAGGCCGAGGCAGGCAGATCACCTGAGGTTGGGAGTTCGAGACCAGCCTGACCAACATGGAGAAACCCCATCTCTACTAAAACAAAATACAAAAAATTAGCCGGGCATGGTGGCACATGTCTGTAATCTCAGCTACTCGGGAGGCTGAGGCAGGAGAATCGCTTGAACCTGGGAGGCAGGGATTGCAGTGAGCCAAGATCATGCCATTGCACTCCAGCCTGATCAACAAGAGAGAAACTGTCACAAAATAAATAAATAAATAAATAAATAAATAAATAAATAAATAAATAAGCTGGGAGCAGTGGCACGTGCCTGTAATCCCAGCTACTGGGGAGGCTGAGGCAGCAGAATGCTTGAACCCAGGAGACTGAGGTTGCAGTGAGCCAAGATCACGCCATTGCACTCCAGCCTGGGCAACAAGAGGGAAACTGTCTCAAAAAAAAAAAAAAAAAAAAAGAATAAGTAGGATCCTGTCTAGGGAAAGCTTAACCTTGACCTCCCTTCATCCATCTAATGAATGTGAACAAGACAATAGTAGTCTTTACTTTCGTGAAGTTTATAGCTCTTCTCTAAGTCATTTTCTCTTCTCTGTTTCTTCTTTTTTAGATGAGAGAATTGGGCCAGATTATCTACCTGATTGATGATTATAAAAATACCTTCTTTGGGGCTGGGTGTGGTGGCTCATACCTGTAATCCCAGCACTTTGGGAGGCTGAGGCGGGTGGATCATGAGGTCAGGAGTTCGAGACCAGCCTGACTAACTCCATCTCTACTAAAAATACAAAAATTAGCTGGGTGTGGTGACACGTGCCTGTAATCTCAGCGACTCAGGAGGTTGAGGCAGGAGAACCACTTGAACCTGGGAGGCGGAGGCTGCAGTGAGCCAAGATCATGCCACTGCACTCCAGCCTGGGCAACAGAGCAAGACTCTGTCTCAAAAAAACAAAACAAAACAAAACAAACCTTCTTTGTTTTGTATGAAATAGTAAAACTGGCTTTATTGATCATATTTTAGTTAAGAAAATAGCAGCCCTGCCTGGTATTTTGTTTAATTCCATTTACGTGAAATATCTGGAATAGGTAAATCCATATAGATAAAACACAGATTGCTTGTTTTCAGGGACTGGGGAGAGGGGGTGAATAGGAGTAACTGCTTAATAGGTACTAGGTCTCCTTGGCCAGGCACGGTGGCTCACGCCTGTAATCCCAGCACTTTGGGAGGCCAAGGCAAGCGGATTACGACGTCAGGAGATCATAGACCATCCTGGCCAACATGGTGAAAATCCGTCTCTACTAAAAATATAAAAATTAGCCGGGCATGGTGGTGTGTGTTTGTAATCCCAGCTACTCGGGAAGCTAAGGCAGGAGAATCACTGGAACCGGGAGGCGGGGGTTGCAGTGAGCCAAGATCGTGCCACTGCACTCCAGCCTGGGTGACAGAGTGAGACTCCGTCTCAAAACAAAACAAAACAAAACAAAAAAAACTTTGGTACTAAGTCTCCTTTTGAGGTGATGAAACTATTTTGGAACCAGATAGACATGGTGGTTGCAGAACATTGTGAATGTTCTAAAGACCACTGAGCGCAGTGGCTCATGCCTGTAATTCCTGCACTTCCTGGGCAACATGGCAAGACCCCGTCTCTACGAAAGTACATAAAATTAGCCGGGCATGGTGGTGCGTGCCTGCAGTCCCAGCTACTGAAGGCTGAAGTGAGAGAATCGCTTGAGCTTGGGAGGTCGAGGATGCAGTGAGCTGTGATTGCACCACTTGACTCCAACCTGGACCACAGAGATCCTGTCTCAAAAATAAATAAATAAATAAATAAACTCACTGAATTATTCACTTTTTCTTTTATTATTTTTTTACCTAACAACAATACATTAAGCAAATAATTTACTTTAAAGTGGTTAATTATATGTTATGCGTAATTCATTTAAATACTAAAAAGCCCACCTAGGTTTAAAGTGCTTGGCTGGGCTGCGAGCCCTTTAAGAACCTCTCAAGCGGGAGGCGGGGCTAGAGGGGCGGACCTGTAAGAATCACGTGGGGCGACGCCTGCGCAGACGGGTCACGTGGTGGCTGGGCCGGGGAAATGGCGGCTTCAGGAGAGAGCGGGACTTCGGGCAGCGGAGGCAGCACCGAGGAAGCCTTTATGACCTTCTACAGTGAGGTGAACACAGAGTGAGGAGTAGTGGCACCGGGGCGACCTCTCCCAGATCTGCTTTCCCAGTGGACAAAGGCAGTGGTCGCCTGGCCTGGACCGTTGGGCGATT